AAGCTGTTAAGGCCACAGCTCCCAGGGCCAACAGGCAGCATGGTGGTTAAGGCTCTGGACTCCCACATGGCCAACTGCAGTTCAAGACCCAGACCTGGTGACTAGAAAAATCACACTGGGTATGTATGTGTGTATGCCCAAAATCCCAGAAGAATTGAAGAGAAGGGATTGTAGGATGGCCACTCCCTGAGGGTACCGTCTCACTCTCCCCTCTCACTGTCTCTCTCTCTCCGGTGAGCACATACACTCTATGAGGGAGGGGGGAACACACAGCTTCTGCCCCCAGAAAACTCCCACAAGGCAGAAGCACCTAGCGCCTTCCCCACTCTGCCCAGGCCTGCCCTCAGTGCCCAGACTCCTCTCTGCGAATGCTGGCCAGCTGCAGGTTCCCAGGCAGCCGCAGAGGGCTGCTGTGGTCGATGCCACCCTCTGACGCCCCAGAGGAACAGCTGAAGACAAACGTTCTTTCTGACAGTTCTCTCAGTAGTACTGTCTTGGGGCCAGCAGACAGCATGGTGGTGAAGGTGCTGGACCCCACTTGGCAAAGGCCTGGACAAGAACCAACATCCCACTTGGCCAAGGCCTGGACAAGAACCACCATCTGCCGTGTGTGAGCCCAGCGCCCTTAACCACGCCACCTGCCAGCCCCCCTACAACAAATTTTTAAAATAATAATAAAATTAAATAATTCTCTTTTGTTTTAAAGAGAGATTTTTGCTAGAGGGCATATACACTCACCAGAAAGAGAGAGACAGAAAGGAAGAAATCACCCCATGGAGGGATGGCCACACTGCGATCCCTTCTCCATTCTCCTCTCAGGCTTTTGGACACACATGCACATGCGCCCAGGGTGAGTTTTAAGCCACTGGGGTTCCCGGACTCAAACCACGGTCAACTATGTGGGAGCCCAGTGACATAACCATTATACCATCTGCTGGTCCCCAAGGACAGTAATTCTTTCAAAAATAAATAATAATAATAAATATCTTTGTGGAAGTAGGATTTTGGACCAAGCTGAAAGAGCCACAGGAATAATGTCTTGGGAGCTTTTGCCACGTGCCTACAAAGACTCCACGTGGCCTGGACCGAGCATGGCCGGCCCCCTCTACACAGAGAGCTGCAGGGCTCTGCGTGTGCCTGCACATGTGTGTCTATGTGTGCCTGTGTGCACACGCCTGCATGTGTGTGCCAGTGAGCCTGTGAGCACCTGTGCAGGCCTCTGTGTGCACCAGGGTGTCTGTGTGCATATGTGCTTCTGGCAAAGGTATACACAGACCCGTTGACGAGTTGTCAGAGGGAACTCTGCACTTCTCTCTGGGAACGCACCCCAACTGGCTTCCCAAACACCAGGCAAGAGACCCTCTGAGTGCAGAAACGGGTCGTCTAGAGTCAAGAGGGCCACATCTGGAGCAGAAAGAGTTAAAAGGCTAGGAGGCGGTGGAAAGAGGAAATGTAAGTCAAATCAACCTTTTTTTTAAGAATTATTTATTTAATTTTTTAATTTATTCATCCATTTATTATTTTAATTCGACCAAAGAGAGACAGAGAGAGAGCGAGAGAGGAAGTGAGAAAGCAAGCCACCAGGTCCAGGACTTGAACCGTAGTCGGCCATGTAGGAATGTCCAGCACCTTAACCACCGCCACTTGCTGGTCCCAACTTTTTTTTTTTTTTTTTTTTTAGGAGAGGTTTTCGCTATAGGGCACGTGTGC